GCACCCTGGAGAGAATAGAAGTCACATAATAGAATATCAGTGAAATATAATTTTAATCATTATTAATAATTTTGTAAATTTGTGCAGAAGAAATGAAATGAAAGAATGAAAGAAATCCATCCACATTAATATCACATTTATCACAGTTTTCACTGTGATAACACCATTGCTTACTGAGTAAGACCCTTAGGATCAGAGATTAAGATTTTTTAAACACAGGGCCGATCCAGCCTTCCTGTATTGGGGTGCTGGTCCCACAAGATCAACAAACATTAAAATAATAGAAAAACACAGGTCGTCCACTGCCCTCTGCTGGTGATATCAAAGAAACACATAGACTAGACCAGACTAGAATAGAATAGAATAGAATAGAATAGAATAGAATAGAATAGAATAGAATAGAATAGAATCAAATAGAATAGAATAACGCTTTATTGCCATTGTACAAATACAACAAAATTAAGGTGCTGCACACCAAATGTTTAGAATCAAGATTGATATATACCAAACATTCAAAAGTCAAAAACCTGCTTAGCCTCCCAATCACTGTTTTCCTAAGATTAACTCCTAAAAAGCATTTTAACATCAGCAAAAAGCAGTTCTATTTATAAACTAAGCATTTGGTGGACTTCATTGACAGCTAATCATACATCCCCTGTGGGGTTCATGTAAAGGTACATGAACAGTTTTATGGGTAGATGTGCATCCCTTTTTTTCTCTAGTTTTGCATCTGAAATTTCTCTATGAGGTGAACAGTGATGACAGCAAAGACCATGATGATCAGACCAACAGAGAACACGACTGTCTTCACCATACAGAAGGAGACACCGTCAGAGAAACTCTCAGAACCTGAAACACAGAGCAAAACCAGACTTTGCCTTTACCGCACATTGGGAAAGGATAAAACCAGTAATACCTCTCACTGGATGTGGATACCATTTGATTCACAATGTAATTTTTGATGTATGTGTTTTAGAGCCTGTAATAAAACAACATATGTTGAAAGTACTAAAGCTGTACCAAAAAAACAGGTTACCATTCACTAAATATTCAGTTATAATGATATTGATTAATTACTTACTGGTTCTTTTGTTTGTTTTTCACACATGCAGACAATAACATAATGCATGTTTGCATGTTATCCAAATGTTTTTAGGCTTACAGTGAATTTCCAGGCTGGAAAATGTTATCAGAAAAAAAAAAATCTGCTTATCTGACTTACCAACATTTCGAGGACAAAAATGTCCAATCTCTATCATATCCTTGGTCCAGTTTACTTCATTGCTGTAGTTACATATGATGGATCCATCTGACATGTAGACATGAAGAGAAACGGACCACCACCAGGTCTCTCTTTGTTCTCCTCCCTCTTGATGGCAAGTTTTGTTATTACATTTAAAAGTGCTGTTGATGTTAAAGTTATATGTACTGCAGGTCACAGTAAGGTTACAGGAGTATGAGCTGTTGAACATGGAGTCCACTATCAGGTTAACTGGAGACAATGGATCTGGAGGCAGATATACGACATCCAAAGTTTTAGTAATATAGCAGCAGCCCAGCACTGGTTTTGATTGTTAACATACCTACAATAAAATAATTCATCCGCTTCCTCGGGAATGTCTCCTTCCATGCCGAATTCATACTCGGAACCATAATCAGAAAAATCGACTGCACTCCAGTCTTTCGCTTCCGTTAAGTCTAATTCAGTCCGGTTACTAATATCAAAGTCAGATTCCACAACATCCTCCTCTCCAAACACAGGATGTGACCCTTTAAAACATTAAATGTGACAGTACCAAACAAATCAAACACAATAGGTTTATAGTCAATGAATCTTCTAAAATTTCTTAACTTCAGAATTCATACAAACAGAATTTAACAGTATTTTAAGAACTTCCATCTTCATTGTCATGTAGTTTAGGAAAACAACACATTGCTTTTAAATTTCTTTATTTAAGACTCCATTTATAACAAATTTGGTAAATGTACTGACTAGTTTAATGTAGATGGAGGCAACTGTCGCTTGCCTCCATCAGTGTGTGAATGTGTGTGTGAATGGGTGGATGACTGGGTGTGTAAAGCGCTTTGGGGTCCCTAGAGGGGACTAGTAAAAGTGCTATACAAATACAGGCTATTTACCATTTACCATAGTTATTGAATAGATCTTGTCAGTGTTTATGGCCCACATGCAGTACTTGAGTGAAATTTCATGTTAGATTTACAACCTGAGTTATTAAATCAGATTTTAGTCAACATCGTGTATCTTGACAAATCTACTTTTAGACTTCAAACAATGAAGTAAACAATTTTAAAAACAATATATCTTCTTCCATACTACTTTGATCAAATTGCACATTCATATAGGTTAACCATATGTATATATACTCAGTTCTGCTCCAAGTCTGTATTAAATGATCAAGTCATAAATCACACATGATATTTACATTTAATTAGAAAGTTTCCTACCGAGTGTCTCAGAACAGAACAGCAGTGCCACCATCACAGCAAAAGACATGGTTGAATCTCTAACTTCTTTGACTCCAAAATGTGGAACTGTGAACGAATGAAAGCATGACAGTGTTATAACTGTCTCACGTTTTTTCTTTTTTCACAACTACTGGCTGCAGTCTTATAGGGCAAAAGCAAGCACAAACCCTGTTTTATTGCTTGATTTTGTGTATTAACTTACCTGAAACCCCATTAAAGAATGCATATGAATTAACATTTTGCTTTAATGCACAAACAATGCATTAATTAAAGCTTCAACATTTGAGGCATTTTTTGTTGAAAATCACAATCAAAGATATCAGGCACATCTTGTAATGAGTAAAAAACCAAAAACAAACAAAAACATCTCCCAGATCCACTCACAGGTTTAGCCACAAAGTTTCCTTTGTCACAGTTAAAAGGAACAGGTCACCATTTTATCTGAAGGGCCAAACATATGATGGAGACATTATACTTTATTCTTAGTTAACTATTAGTAAAACATTTAGAATTCAACAGAATGAAAATGTCTTACTGTTATTGCTCAGCATTTTAATTTTCCCCATGAACTATAGAAATGAAAAAGATATAAACATGACGGTTGAAATTGTTTCAGACTATCTGCTTTTTAACATATACTATTGAAGTTTAGTCCTCACAGGTGATATAAGATTGCATTCACTTTTAAATAGCTTCATTTACAGTGACTTCTTTAAGATTTTTAGGATGTAACACCCTTTACATTTTACATGTTAAGCAAAAATACTTGCACGAAAAAACAGAAATGTAACACAAGTAAAAGGAAGTGGCATCTTTTCACAGATCGAGAACAAGAAAGAAATAAAATTAGCAGAACAGCAGACAAGCTTGCTTTTGCCATACTTCAGTTTGCACCCCCGAACCTCGTAACACACTCAAATAGATGTGTTTTTTCCATAATTTTCTCACAAAATAATGTCAAAACATATGACCGTCTTTCAACAAAAGCAAAATTATTCTTTCTTAAAAGATTCTTTATATGATTGTAGTTCAATATACAGATAGTACGTAATAACCCAGTTTTAGTATATATGTGTTTCCAGTCATAGAATAAGATACAATGAAGGTTTGCTCTTTCCATGTTTGTGAGTTTTGCCTTAATGTTCAGTTTGAGAAAAACTGAACTGACAAAAAAAGAAGCACCAATTATTTCTATAAGTGTTAACATTTACTCATTTATCATTCATCATTTAATCAAAAAGAAAAATGATGTTGAGTCTCAAGCTTTCTACAATCAAGAAGTGAAACTATGAAGTGTTTCCAGAGAGACACAGGACCAGGCCCGTCTCACAGCTGTGTTATTTATGAACTTCCCGTCAATGCCTTGTTTCACTGCTTCAATTCTGTCAGTAGCTACTAAAACACTTTATTGACAAAACAGTTTTGTATCTGAATTTCAATGAGACATTTTTAGGACACTACAAAAATTGGCAGCATATTATATTGAATATTCTTTTACATGTTTTTATATATTTGGTTACTTTTTAATTCACCCAAACTTTATCAGCTTGCTGCATTTGGAAAGATAACCAATTCTCATTTGAGGTATATATTTCTGTACTCTTTCCCCATTCTTAGGTTACTTTAAATGTTAAATGAACATAACGCTTGTTAAATTGGTGGTGGAACTATTTCTTTATATTTTGACTATTTCTTAAACATTCAAAATAATACAAAGAGGACAGTGATTGAAGCAGAATAACTTCTGAGATATCAGAGATCGATAGGTTTGTTTTTGATGATTTTAAATTAGTTTAAGATGGACGTGTTCACTAGCTGCATTCCTTTTGGGTTTAGAACTTTGTAGTTATTAGTTGACCCCCCTCACACTGAAGAAACATCTAAAACGTGCTCTCTGGAATCTGAAATACTTCTTTTGCATTTGCTTCCTACATAAAATCTCAGAAAACAGCTATCAGGTTCAACAAGCATCAACCAGCATTTATTCATTTTTTTCAGTCCTGTTTCTAAAATTTCAAAAATCATGTTAATGGTTGCTTTAGTGTTAATTAAATTAACTGCAGGTGCACTAGAGAGGCAGAAATGATAGAACTAACAAAACCGCAATAGTTTTACAGGCCACTGGCATTTTATCCCTCATGTTTTCTGATTGTTTTTCTAACCATTGTGTCAGGGCTCTGTGTGCGGGCAGGTGGAGATGTGGATCCAAGTGCAGGACTCTGAGACGGAAATATAACTGAAAACCACAGCTTTATTGCTGGCTCCAACAAAACAGAAACCAAACATGAAAACACTAACTGGAACACACAGGCAGGATCTGAGGGTACAACGCAACACTGAGCACAGGAAAACACAGGGCTTAAATACACAGGGTAGTAATGAGGGAATGGGCAACAGGAGGGAGACACAGCTGGGAGAGATCAGGGCTAACGAGACGGGGGGAACCAAGCTGCACACACTAACATAAGACAAAGACTTTCACAATAAAACAGGAAACATGAATCACAACTCAGAGACACGGACAAAACACAGAGACAGAAAATGACACATGGAACTGAACTATACATGAAACCACAATTCCTAAAACATGGATAACAGAAACATGAAACTCTAATAATAATCATCACAACCACAACAAGAGAACAAGAAACAATCCATGATGCAAAATTAAACCAAAACATAATAAACTCAAAATACTGGGTCCAACGGACCCAGAACCGTGACACATTGTCACAGTAAGAGTATCACCAATCCTGTCAGGCATGCATATGAGCATGAGAAGTTTTTTTTTTTCACTTATTTCCATCAAATGATGTGACATCCGTTTATACCTATCCATTACACAGTCATCGTCAGTCTATCTATCCAGAATAATTTCCCCCAGAATGATCTGATGTGTTTTTTTCCATACTTTTTTTCAGTTTTTAATTCTTTAGTGTGAGAAGTTTAGTCACACTCATAACTTATGTCCTCAAAGTTTGGACTGATAGCAACCTGCAATAACTTCTAAACGTTTTCATAGTGTAGAACTAATTAGTATTCAGACACACATTTTAAAGACCTAACAAATGTTCTGTTTAATGTTAAATTTTTACTTTTTCGTTTTAGTTTTCAGCTTTACCGTCAACCCAAGAGTAGCTTGAAAGCAGCTTTTGCCCTGTTCAATTAAAAGTAAGGGAACATATTTTCCTTGAGCAACCAGTGCTAGAATAGCACAAAAACAGTAATGTTATTTGTAAATTCTCCTTGGCAATGCAGCCTGTCTCCAAAACCACCCTCTGCCATCTGCTGGTGAGATTAAAGAAACACATATGTCAGGAATGTAGTTATTTACCCGTTGTCTCTTAAACATATTCATAATTTGTTTCATGTTATTTTACTGTTGGCCGTAATGGTTAGTTTACATCTATGCATAGGTTTTAAAATCGAATTCTACTGAACCATCAGGTAATTTGATTTTTCTTTTCTCTTAGAAGGTAAATTTCTGGTTATACCTACTATTGTTTGTCCCCTTGTTCAGATCCTATCCAGAACAGGTGTATGGGAGGGGTCGGCCCAGCACTTACTATTTATATAGGTTCATGAAGTCATTATTTATTGCAGAGCAATAAAAATGTGGCACTATGGTGAATTTCAATCATGCAATTATCATGATCATTTGATTGCTGTCATTCACACTTACATTATTCAATCTAGATCCTCTAGCATACCAGGCATTTGCTGATAGGTCAATATATATATATATAATTTTTCTATGTCGATACAATTATACAGGCTACGGATAAGCTTAAAGGTCTGCTGTGCACCGGCCCTAAAAGCACAGACAGTAGCTTCATTACTGACCCTGGATTGCCGCATCAGATCTTAACGCAAACAGCCCCTCCACTACTCTCCCTGTGCCTATTCACTTGTACAGCAGAGTTTAATGTAAAAGAGCTGAAAAGCTAAGAGAAAAAACAAAACTAGAAGTAGATGCAGCAAAATGTGTCAAAGTAATCAACATGTTAACTGTTAGAGCTGCTGCAGCAGTAAACAGTGGTACTATAGCAACAGCTACTGAAAAGCCCTGGCACACAACTGTTGCTAACACTAGCCATGGAGGAGTTGGCAGGTCAGTTTGCTAAAGTATAACTTTTAATCGTCTCATGCTTCACTGCTGTGCAACTCAGATCTCCTAACTTAACAAAAACTATACCAACCTGATTAGAAAGAAAAACTCTGTCATTATTGATTCTCTAACAAAGTGAAATATATGTGTGTGTGTGCATATATTATTTATATCTTTCAGTTTGTATAAAATATATTAATTCTTTTGCATATACTCCTCCTTTTTGTCCAGGCCAGACCTGTGCAGAGGCGCAAGGACCCTCTCGTCACTGTTGGTGATATAATCCCATTGATAACTTATTTACTTTCACATATAAAGTTTTGCATGCTATAGAAATTTAGTTCTACAGTGAATTTCCAAGCTGGGGGGGATGGTGTCAGTAAATTGCTTATCTGTCAGACTTACTGTCATTCTGAGAGACAAAATGTCCAATCTGTCAGATCCAGCTGACATGACTGATCAGACTTCCAGACACTTTCTTGTTACGTTTCTGAACCCTGTTTTACTGCTTGGTGTTGTGCATCAAATAGGATTCATTTATGTAAAACTTCAAAGAATGTACATGAATTAAAATTATGCTTTAACAATATGGGACAATACTGAACAATAGAATAATACAGCTAAGGTGTCTGAGTCATTGTTGGAAATAACATTTTAATTAAGCACATCTAGGTATATGAAGCAAGTTTAAAAACAAAAAACAAAAACAAAAACAAACTCCCAGTTCTTTTACCGTCCTTGAGAAAACAACCGGTGCCGCTGTTAAGGACAAAAAGATAAAATAACACATTTTTTCAGTGGAACTGTTGCAGGGGTTTTCTTCTGCTCACAGTTTTAGGCACCTGCAAGCTTACTTTGTCATTCGTCACAGTTTGAAAGGAACAGGACATTATTTTATCCTAGTTATTTATTACTACAACAACTGGA